AGGGAGGGAGGGAGGGAGGGAGGGAGGGAGGAAGGAGGGAGGGAGAGAGGAAGAAAAGAAGGAAGAGAATAGCAAGTATCATTCTTAGTTATCTGGAAGTTTTACCTTAACTGGCATGTTCAATCATCGATCTTCTGATGCAAAATTTACCACAATTCTCAATGATATAAGAATTTTTTTAAAGGGTAAAAACACAAGAAATATGTACAACTTAACATCTGTATTTCTTTGCTTTTCTTCCTCAGTGGAACATATGAAGGCTGAATATGCAGAAGCTACAAAGAAAATGTTGGAAGAAATACAAAGGAAGAATGAGCAGATCATGGAACAGAAAGAAAAGAGTTACCAGGAACATGTGAATCAGTTGACTGAGAAGATGCAGCAGGACAGGGCCCGGGCAATGGGGGAGCAAGAGAGGACTCCAGCTCTGAAATTTCTGGTATTTGACCACAACATCTCAGTTTTCTCTTCCAGTGCCCCAAGTCAAAAAGAAAGTGTAAGGATGAGAACTTCATGCCTCCAAAAGAAGAATATCCCATCCAGTTACGCTACTACATTTCTCATCTCCCATCTGCTTTTATCTCTGTCCATCTCTGGTTATGAAAGTTTATCCAGTTGCTGAATAAAATACCATGAAATTTTTCCTTATGACATTGTTATTAAACAGTAGTTATTAATTACTAAGCATAGCACAAGTGCTGTAAGGCACTTGTGATCAAATCCTCACCTAATGGCTCAGAGACCATTATTTTCTCATTTGCTAAATAAGGACACTTTGATTCCATGAGCTATAGATAACCTTTTTACATCTGACTGCATAGTGATATACCCATCCTACTAAGCAGGATTTTTGTTTCTCCCAAAACTAGTATAACTTGATATCTGGGAGCATAATAGTGAGTAGAAGACTCTTGACAAACTACCCATTTTTTAAGTAAATTGGCTGAGTGTTCATATGGCCAATACATTCTGACTATCTGAGCACTACTACACTTTTGTACTGAATCTACATATTGGCCCAGGAATATCCTATGGGCTATTTCAGGCTCCGGTGGTTTCAACTTACTTCTGTTGCATCTGCCACCCAAACTTTGGAGACTTGTACTAAATTCTGATTCTGCATCACATAGCTACCTTCCCATTGCATTTTGTCTGTCCTTCTTACCTGGCTATACATGTGTTAATCAGAGATAAGGATATATATATATATATTTGTGATTGTGTGTGTGTATATATACACACACACAACCACAAATTGTGTTGAATATGAGTGAAGGGATTCAAGAATGGAATTATAGGCCATAGATATTTTAGAAATTATAAGACAACATCATTTCTGAAGCTGGAGCAAGCCCAGGGAAAATGTTAGCTGGAATAGGAAACTCAGGAGAAACTAAGACAGAGGGGGCAGGGGAGATGCAAGTTAAGGGAGGAAAGAATGTCAAGAACAAGTGTGAAAAGTTCTTGAGGGATTAATGGAAATACCCAAAGGGGAACTAAGAAGGCAATGTGGGAATCACAGTAAGCTGTACAAGTTTCCTTTAGGAACAGGATTGACTTCTCAAAGAGGGATTCAAGAATGAGAGCATGAAACTTCAGCAACAGATAAATCAAATCAGATGGAAAGCAGCAAACCATTAGCCATACCCACACCCTACCCTTTCCCATACCATGTAACATACTCTAAAGATCCAAGGAAGAAAAGAACTCTGTCCAGTCCCCTCTTCCCAGGGAATAAATCAAGCAGGGAACTTTAGAATGTGAAACAACTGCCACTCAACCAAACTGGCAATCAAGATGCATTTCTGTTGGACCATCAGAGTTAAAGTTTAAATATGAAAGCAATGTTTTCTTAACACCGATAATTGAAGCAATTTTATATTTGAAATCTTGAACCGGAACTCAAAAGAGAGATTAAATTGCATAACTGGGTTGCTTTCTACATTGAGGAGACGTCATGCAGTTCTGTTCAGAATGGATTGTTCCCCCCCACATGTTCCACCCTTTGATACTGTCATGCTGTTTTTCAAGATTTATTTTTGTTCTGGGACAAGATTAGAGTGTTTTCAACATGGGAAAATATCTGACAAAATTGAATAAACCTATTGGGCACATTGGAGTATCACACCTGACAAGTGGTCTTGGGTCTGTTAACACTGTCTGTTAAAACAGGGAAGATCCTGGACACCTCGCTTGGCTCCAGGACACACACAGTGGTCTCAGCTGGGTAGAGGCTGCATGGTCTGTAGGCAGTGATGGGACATCTGAGTACTGACAGAGGAAATTCCCCTGTTGAGAATGCAAGTCTGAGTGCAGGTTCCACTTCTCGGTTTAGTTATGTCCTTTGGGGAATTACTGCCTCATTCCTAGACCCTACATCTCTGTTTTCTAATCCCCAGTTTTTAGGTTTTTTTTTCCTTCCTACAGTTTAGAGAATAACTTCTACAATCACAAAACAAGAAGCTTTAATTCAAACTCAAAATAATTTCCTTTTTGTCCCTTTGAGAATCTTCACTATAATCTTATAAGATCTGAACCTTGCATCCTTTTATTCCTTCTGTCTTCCTACCATGACATCATTTCTTAAAAGTCACTTGGGTACATGTTTGCTATGACCTGATAACAGAATGTAAAATCAAGAATAATTTGTTGTTAAAATGTATTAACCCACCAAATAGTTTTAGAATGTGTATTGCTTAGGCTTCTCAATGGCTAATGACAATTTCCTTAGCAATTTATAAAAAAACTAATTTAATTTTTAAGAACTATAGGTAGCACACAGATATCCCAGAAGGATGAGAGAGTCAGACTCTCCAGCTGTTCCATCAAGAATGGTGCCACCATACAGTGAAGGTGTCTCAAGAGAGGATGCTAGAGCCACTAGGACCTGCCACCATGATCTCCAGATGAAAGGCCAGAAGCTCTCCAGTGGCGGCTTTCACTGCGTAGCTGCCTCCCCTTTCTCACATTTGCAATAACAAACACTACCCGCAAGGAAAAGTTGCATCTTGAGGTTGCTCATATCTCCAGATAAGTCCCACCAAAGTATATTTGCAAGGCAGAACCTCAATCACATGCCTCTCACAGGGAGTCTGGAAGGTAGTTTACTCTGTCTTCTACTTGGGGAAGCACACACACATACTGTGGGAAATGCTTCTCCACATTAAAGCCAACCAGGTCTTTCTCCACAAAGATCTCTGAAGATAAATCCTATGTTTCCTACAGTAGGAAAAATATTAGGCACTTTTCTATTTTCCTACACATCACATGCAACCCTCTTGATTTTTCATCTTTGTCTTGATAGTTTAATATTCTTTTTAATTTTTTCATTGTTTTGTAAGTCATACATTTTGTTAACATCTTTAGGTTATTCTTAACTTTTAAAAATCTGTTTTAATTAGTTTACTTGACAGCAGAATGCATTTTGACACATTATACACAAATGGAGCACAACTTCTCCTTGCTCTGGTTGTACATGGTGGTGAGTCACACGAGTATTGTAATCATACACATATATAGGTCCATCACATTGGATTATCTTTCGCATCCCCACATCCTCCTCACTCCCCTCTGCACAATCAAAAGTTCCTTCATTCTTCCCTACCTTTACCCCCATTATGGATAAGCATCCCTTTATCGGAGAAAACTTTGACCTTTGGTTTGTGGGGATTGGCTTATTTTGCTTAGCATAATATTCTACAGCTCCATCTATTTACCTGCAAATGCCATAATTTTATTGTTCTTTAAGGCTGAGTAATATTCCATTGTGTATATATACCACATTTTCTTGATCTATGTATTGTAACGAACACCTGTGGAGAAAACCTGTGAGGAGACGCACAAAAGAACAGATACAGGGTATAAGCAGGCAGACAGAAGTGGAGTGGAGAGGAGTGAAGTGAAGAAGACAAGTCTTTGCTCCTCCCCCCTGCTGAGTTTATTAAAAAAGGTTACATATTACTCATCACCATGACTACACTGCAATCAGTATTCCTTTAACCCTGAAGACTAGATAATTGAGATAAGGTCCAGGTTAATACAAACACAAAGCCTCTCACATCCAAGGACATAACTATGAAAACCAGGTAGTGCATCCCTATAGTTATCTTAATAGCCTCAGGGGAAAACTGCTGGGCATTCCAGTTGTGGGAATCAAGGCGCCAATTATCCCCTCCCCCCACCAGGAGTTTGCTCACCCGGGAGTGCTTCCCTGTCTGTTTCCACAGTCAGAATACCTACAATGCATCTCTTGGAAGGGCATCTAAGTTGGTTCCATAGTTTAGCTATTGCGAATTGTGCTGCTATAAACATTGATATGGCTGTGTCCCTGTGGTATGCTGTTTTTAAGTCCTTTCAGTATAAACCAAGGAGTGGAATGACTGGGTCAAATGGTGGTTCCACTCCAAGTTTTCTAAAGAATCTCCATATTGCTTTCCAGAGTGGTCAGACTAATTTTCAGTCCTACCAGCAATATATGAGTGGACCTTTTCTCCCACATCCTCACCAACACTTATTATGCTTGTATTCTTGATAATTGCCAATTCTGACTGGAGTGAGATGAAATCTTAGTTTTGATTTGCATTTGTCTAATTGCTAGAAATGTTGAACATTTTTTCATATATTTGTTGACTGTAGTTCTTCTTCAGTGAAGTGTCTGCTTAGTTCCTTAGCCTAATTGTTGATCAGGTTATTTATTTGTTTGTTTGTTGTTTTTAGTTCTTTTGGTGTTAAGTCATTTAGTTCTTTATATATCCTGGAAGTTAGTGCTATATCTGATGTGCGTGTGGTAATGATTTTCTCCCATTCTGTAGGCTCTCTCTTGATGTTCTTAATTGTTTCCTTTGCTGAGAAGAAGCCTTTTTAGTTTGAATCCATCAACATTTATTGATTCTTGATTTTACTTTTCACTCTTTTGGAGTCCTGTTAAGGAAATCAGGTCCTAAGCCAACATGATGAAGATTTGGGGTGACTTTTTCTCCTATTAGGCACAGGATGTCTGTTCTAGTGTCTACATCTTTGATCCTTAACAAAGCCTTTAAGGGAAAATAAAATAAGTTCATCCACTCCCACATTCATGACTTAGTATATTGTTTTCTATTTCAGATTTAGATTATTTTTGCTCCTCAAATTAGTTATTTTTCTTACTTTTAAAACAGTTCATATCTCGTTTTGTGAAAACAGACAGCAACTTTATTCTTTTTCAAAACATCCCTCTGATGTACTTTATCAGATCATTTTTCTTACCACTAGCTCATTAGTTATGCTCACATAGTATTTTACTTTCAAACAAACAAATAAGCAAAAAAGTTCCACTCGACTTAAATTTTAAAATCTCCTCTCAGATCTGCTTCTGAGTTTCCCAGCCCCTTGTTTCTGCTTTCCACTCACACACCACTAATACACACTGCTCAGGCCAGATTTGACCTCACAGGTAAATGGTTAAGAAGTATGGCACTTTCTTTTCATTTCTCAGCTCGGTCTCCCACCAAATAGACTAGTTCATGTTCATGATGCTTCAAGTTGTGGCCATGGAGTGCAGGGGATGCAGGAAAAGAAACCCTTCTTAGGGGAGGCATTACTTGATCTGCTGTTAGTGCCTTCTGGGAGTTAAAGAGGTTTCAGTTCTTTGCAGGGTCACCTG